TTCTCGTTGCACACGCCCTCGTAAAAGGCAAACTGCTCCACGAAGCTCTCCTTGACAATGCCCCGCAGGTTGTCCGGCAGCCGCCCGCTGCCCGACGCGTATCGCCTGCTCATGTCGAGCAGCTTCCTGGCGTACTCACCCTCCTTGTCGCTCGCGGATGCCGACGAAGTGCTGCTCGTCGACGGCATGGACGCCGGAGGAGCGGGCTGTGGCTGGCTGCTGGGGTGGGATGCCTGGGCGGCACTCGATGACCTGGCAGGCTGGTCGGGAGGGGGCGAGGTCTTGCCTTCGTCGGCGAGGATGGACTCGACCACCGAACACACGGCCTCGCGGAGGGTCTCGTAGCGCAGCACATCGTTGTAGGCGGCAGCCTGGGGGACACGGCCACACAGACATGAGGCCTGTGGTGTTGTTGTGGTCATTGTGACGTCAGTCAGTCATTGCGTTGCGTACCTCTCCCGGAGTGCGTTCGGGTCCTTCGTATCCAGGTTCGTTGTGGTAGGGCTTCTCGTTCATGAGCGTCTGGATCGACAGCAGCACGCTGGACAGCGAATGCACCGGACTCCAGCCTGGTACGGTGCCACACACATACACCACACCACACCACACCACACCACAGCACAGCACAGCACAGCACGTGTGCCGCATATGGTGTGTGATGTCTGTTTTGTCTATGTGCGCGTTGTGTGTGTGTGTATGTTTGGTTGGTTGGTTGACCTGGTCCGACCCAGGTGTGGAGGATGGACAGGCACACCTTGCCATTGGCGTACAGCTGAACACACATGCACACACCCACACACACCACACATACAACACACGGCACTTCCGCCAGCTCTCTCTCCGTGTATTGTGTGAGGCTCACTCACGTTGGGGTTGAACCGCACCCGCCCATTGCCCGTCGTCACGAGCTTCACCCTGAACACACCACAACACACCACACCACACCACACCACACCACACGCGAAGACAGCGGCGATGCGATGAGGAGCCACCGTTGCACTGCCCGCATCCGTGTGTAAACAGCAGTGTGTTGTGTTGGTTACTTGGGCGGCTCGTTTGGGTATGTGTCGGGGCAGTTGACGATGAAGTAGAAGAACCCACCCTCGTACGGAGTGTCAGCTGACATACGTCACACACACACCACACCACACCACACCACACAGACACATCGCTCGCCTCGCCTAGCCTCACAAGAGGTCCGTCCGTGTCGTGTCGTGTCGTCTGCTCGGTTCGTTCCCTACCCTACCTTACCTGGTCCTAGCACTAGGGCGTGAGCTACCGTTGCGATGTTCTCATCCGGACACACAACCACGCCTGCAGAGAAACCTTGGTCAACCACCAGATCTGCCTGCCAATCTGTGTGTTGACCGACGGTTGGTACCAGGCAGTGGGTTCTTGATGATCTGACGGATGTCAGCCTTCACGCGACTGCACACACACACACGCAGACACACGAGTGTGCAGGTGCCACACGCGCCGCGCACTCCCTCCCTCCCTCCCTCCGTGGCGGCTGACCGAAGGCACTGCTGTGTAGGCTGTCTGTTGACGTGTTTGAAGGGGTCCCAGAAGTCGGCATCTGCAGGGAAGGCAGCAGGGTGGATCCCAACGTCACATATCATGCTGTCGGTCGCTGCCCGGCCTTGCTGTCCTGTGCCGCGCCTACTGACCTCGGTGGTGCGCCTCCTCGCCAGTCTGCATCCTCAGAGGCTCACGGCACCGTCCAACGAGATCAGCAGCACCAGCAAGAGCTACAAATGGGTCAGGCGCAGGTGATCCGTTTCACGGCGAAGGGCACCGCAGTGTTGTGGGAAGGATGGGCGGCTTGCCTGTGGTGGTGGGTGAGGATGCCGCACCGACAGTCAACTAACATACTGCACACCCGAACTGTGAGTCCGAAGGAGAGGTACGTCACTCACAGAAGAAATGAAGCAAGCATCCGAGTCTGTCTTGAGATCTGCCTTTTGCTTTGCAGGCGCATGGTGCATCTTGTAGTCGTCTGCTGCTGCTGATCATCGAGGGTGCCAGGTGCGATGGCGTCCGCACAGACGATGCCTCCCTGGATCGGTTCGAGCGCCTCTGAAGACCCCCTGGGTCGGCACGGCCGGCAGCCTGCGTCGTGGAGCTGGAACGGCAACGGCAGTGACCCATGCCTCTGGATGGACAACATTCCAGACACTTACAGGTGGATAACAGAGAGAGAGAAATGAATGCATCGACTGTTGTTGTTCTTCCACTGACTCACTCGCGTTGCCTGTCCTGTCCTGTATTGTCCGTGTGTGTCAGTTCGCACAGCAGCAAGCCCAACACGCTGCCCACCACCGACATGGAGACCCGCACCAACCGCATCCGCAACGTCACCGCCGCCAGGCGGCACCACACGCCCAGCGGCAGCGGCGGCAGTGTCGCCGCACTCTCATGGCGCACACCCGGCACCTCCAGCCCCTGGGTCGCACGGACCCACTCATCAGAGCGAGACTATGCCCCCATCCCCTACTTCCCCATTCTCAACACCGATGTGGCGAGCGAAGCGGGCGACAGCCAGGCAGGCGCCTTCCCCTCTAGACGGGGCTCGCCGGGCAACTCTTCCCACTTGCTGACGCCCCTGGCCGACGCCCACAACACCTATCGCGGCTATGGCCGCCCCGCGAGCCCTCATCTGTCAGTGGCTGACGGGTCTGACCGGCTGACGCCAGGGAGCTTCCTCACCCCCTCCAACATGAGCTCTGTGGCCAGCCACCCGTCCCGCTCGTCTCCCTCCGACTACGCGCCGATTCCCTCCTTCCTGGGGCCTATGCAGTCCATGCCGTCCATCCCCGAGACCCTCTCGCGGCCCAGCGACGACGACCAGGACGAAGCCGTCGGAGAGGAGCTGTCGCCACTGCCGCCGTCGGGCAATGAGTTGCCAGGCAGGCAACTGCCTGACAGGACGGAGGGCGAGAGTGTGTCTGAAAGGGCCACTCCCGACGCAGCCCCCCTGCCCACCCTTTCCGCAGCCACGCCGATCCCCGTGGAGGGGACCAGAAGCCCCAACCGAGGCAGACGCGGCATCCCGTGGCTGTCGGCATTCCGCAACCCGTTCAACCGCAACCCATTCAGGCGACGGTCACACCTACCCACCCTGGCTGAGCACCACCCCGAGCCCACCACCAGCATTATTTTCGAGCAAGGTGAAGAAGAGGACCAGCGCCCAAGCTCATCATCCACGCGAGGAGATCCGCTGTCCCCGAGCTCTGTGGTTCGGTCGGCCCCCTGCCCCCCTCCCCCAGAGGCCATCTCCCCCCTCCGCAACCAAACGGAGACGACCCCCATCCCCTCGGCCCCCCTGCGTCGGCAGCACACGTTTGCGCAGTTCATCTCTCCGAGGACGGGCTGGCGGCCGCATGCGGCCAGGCTGCGGCTGAACCCCCGGATTGCCGACTATCGCGGCGACGAGTACCACGTGTCGCGTGCGCGAGGGGTGGAGGCCATGTCTACTACCGCGGGGCTGCAGAGGGGTAGTAGTGGGTCGACAGTCGACTGTCCAGGTCGATTCGTGTCGGCCAACCTTTAAATGATATATTGGGTGGTGGTGGTGGTGGTGTGTCTGTCGCTTGTAAGGAGGTGGGGGGATTTTGAAGCCCGTGTGCGACGTCTGACTGTCTTTTTCCTTCTGAGCTGAGCTGGCTCAGAAATGCTCTGCCTGCTGCTTGTGGCGTGTGTGTCGTGTTGCTTCCCCATTCTCTTCGTCGACGCCATGCGACGTGATGGCCTCTTTGCGTACCCGCAAGGAGACCATGTCGTCTCATATGTGTTGACGAACAGATGGGAACCGGCGCACAGATGTGATGTATGTGAGACTCGCCGTCTTTTTATCGCGACTCATTGTCGCTTCATTTGTCACTCACTGACTGAGGTTGCCGTGTCTACGTGAATGTGAGTTTGTGGTAGGTGACGTGACCCGTACACGACGTTGTGTGGTTGTGCTTGGGGTTGTCCGTGCGTCCATGTGTGTGTGTGTCTGTGTGTCCTGGTGATCTTTTTCCGACCATTGTTGTCTTTCTCCGCTTCGTCTCTCCTCATGTCCGTCTCTCTCTCTCTCTCTCTGTCGGTGAGTACGTCAGTCTGCATTTTGGCTGACATGGTGTGCACAGTGGCGCGATCGTTCGTGTCCGTGTGGGGAGTGCCTGTCGGTGTGAGTGCGGGAGCACTGGCGCCTGGCGCGCACCCCGGCTCTGACTCTGACTCTGACTGTGCGTATGTGTATGTGTGTGCGTGTGTGTGGTGCTGCTAGCGCTTTCCTCTGCTGTCTTCGGGCCCCCGTGAGTATGATGATTTTTCGTGCTTCTGTGGTGCGGCACATGTGTGTGTGCATGGAGCACTGACTCATCAGTGAGTGAGTGCATCGACTTGAATCTCTTGAGGCTTATTGCTCACGGCTTAGCGTCAACCAGGCCTAGCTACCGCACCGAAACGCACACAGACAAACCTGACCTGCCAGCCGAGGAGGCAGCCCTTGCTCTGCTCACACTTTGAGAGCACAGAGGAAAAAGACCAGCCATCGATCCATCCGGCCATCCATCCATCCATTTATAAGTCGATTGCAGACAGGCAGGCTACTCTTGGCCTTCTGCCTTCTTCTCCTCTCCCTCGCCGGCCTTGTCCTCCCTGCAGAACCATCACCACACGCATACATCATCATGCCCCAGAAAGAGGTGTCTCTGCCTGTCGGTCTGTGTGTGAGCCACGCTGGTGTGTGGGCTCAGCCCACTCACTCTGCCTTGTCGTCTTCCTTCTTGTCCCCCTCCCCCTCGCCCTCCTCCTTGGTGGGCTCTGGCTCCGCGACCTCGTCGGGGTCGTCCGCAGGCCACTCGCCACTGTATCTCTCCACACCCTGGGGCGTCAAACCTGCCACACACAAGCAAAGCACGTGTGCATGTTTAGTGTGCACAAGGCAAAGGAGGGAGGAGGGAAGGGGCGGCCTGCCTGCGACGTGGACGAGTATGTCGAGGTCTCCGGAGTTTGCATTTTTCTTGTAGGTGAATGAGACCTTGGCGTGTGTCTTGGTGAAGCCGCCGCCGCCCAAGAGGCCGCCCGTCTCGCCCTTGTCGGTGTACAGGGTGAAGTAGCTCGAGTAGACGGCAGAGGTCGTCTCCAGGTGGATGACGTCCTCAGCCGTCACATCAGCCGCCCATTCCACCTTCACTCTCTTCTGTGTGTGTTTATGAGACGCGACAGGCAATTAAGAAAGATTGAGCCGTCTTCCCCTGGTGGCCCACCCACGCGCACACCGCACAGACCGCACCTTGTCCTTGACAAATGCATTGTAATACTCCAGGATCTTGTCGCCCGACGCAGCGCTCCGTCTCTGCCTCCTGCTCAAGACCTGCAATCAGTGTGATTATAACACACACCGGATATTGTGAGGATGTGTCTGTCGTTATTAATGAGTCAGTCCTACCGAGTAGGAGTGCCTGCGGTGCGTAGAGCTTCACCACCTCCTCGGGCTTCAACGACTCCACTGCACAAAGGAACGAACGAATCAATCAATACATCCATCCCATGCACCATCCACAGGAGTGAATGTCCGTGTCCGTGTGCCTACTGTACTTGCTTTGGTCCACTTGGTCCGCGCGACCTTGACCTGCTCTGGCGTGACATTGGCTGGCCCGAAGACCGCGTCTGTGATGAAATTGAACATCCTCACTGACTACTGTACTGGCACCGGGGCTGGGCCTGAAGAGAAACAGACACACACCAGGACAGGGAGGGACATGAGAAGCCGCCAGGAAGAGATGCATATGTGTGTGTGTAGCACTTGAAGACGAGGCTCACTGAGGGGAAATGGGGGCGGCGAAACAGAGCCTGAAACGTGCCCAATATGACGAAGAACAACTGCAGACGCATACTTTCCAACGCGTTGATGCATGGATGAAATGAGCGCGTACCTTTGCGTGTTTCGAGTGAATAGGCCGAACCCCACCGGGTGCAGGGTTTGGCTGTAGGGTTCAGAAACCCAGAAACCCGAAACACCCACCCTTGAAACCCCAATCTCTGGCTCCACACGCCGGTTTATCGTCCTTTTCTCATGTCAGCAGCATCGAAGGGAGCCGTATCAGTTGCAGTTGGCGCTGCATCTGCCCTGACCCTCCTCCACACCTCATCACCATCTCTCTCGCGCTCCCCTGCCCCATCATGCCGCCGCGTGAGCCACTGCGAGGCCAGCAGCCGTCCGAGCGACGCCCCGCCCGTGATCAACCTGCCCCAGTCCACGACCAAGCGTGAGGAGGTGCTTGGAGTGGAGTTCCCTGTGCAGCTGCCGGTGCTGACTGGCCCTTGGGCGATGCCCCACCTGCACCAGTACATATCCTCGGCGCCCAGGTGTATGCAGAATGCATGCTGGTTCCCGCCTGCCAGGGCCTACTCACTGGGGCTGTACCTGGACCAGGGACTGCTCAACTCGTATATGGACGTAAGCCGGATAGATCACCGAGAGCTTCTGGAATGTGTTTCTGTGTGTGTCATGTGTTGCGTCATGCAGACTGGTCAGACCGAGCCCGGTCTTCTGTTTGATGACTCGGTGGACAAGACCTTTCGCTTTGTCTTTGTGAGCGAGAAGGACCCGCGCCACATTCGTGACGGGTTCGCCAGGGCCCTCAGGAATGCGCTGCCTCTGGAGGAGACCTACGACTATGTCTACGACGCCGGCCTGCGGGAGGTCAACGACTTCATCTCACACATACGCCCCTTCAGGATGAAGAGCGGATCCGTGCTCATCGGTACGCACATGTGACCTCACACACACACACGGGCGGACCCACACACACAGGCCTTGCTGTCTTGGTTGCAGTGACGTGCATCGCCTTCCCGAAGCCCGGGCGGACGGTTATTCTGTACAGCGACCAGCCTGACGTGCCGCCTCATTTCGTGGGCCAGGTGGAGGGAGTGGGTCTGCGGCTGGCCTTCCACCACCTCTACGTGCAGCGCGACAAGAGGGGGCAGGCTAAGTATCCCGCCATCACGGGCAAGTTTGAGAAGGACCTCAAGGACATGCTGGAGGCCAACAAGGCTGGCCATCAGCAAGAGGGCGACCAGAGCACCGCCGACAAGGGGAGGGAAGGGGGCAAGGAAGGCAAGTAGCGTGGAGTGGTTGTGAGAGTCAGCTGACGCGATGTGTGTTGCTGTGTTGTTCTGTATATGTGTCGGTCGATTGAAGAGCCCAGCTCTCTCTTGCATTGGACACGGCTGTGACACTCGTCTGCCACCTACGTGTTTGTCGATCAACTCACTCACTCACTCACTCACTCGTTGGTCGGCCCTCAACCACACACGCCACGCCTATCTTACAATCCCAGCGTGCGCACTACGCACTTACAGGCTACACACTCGACACTGACTCAACAAAAAACAGAACGTCCTCGCACCAACCCACTTGGAAACGAAGTCAATCACTCAGTCACTGCCTCGTCTAGTCCGGCTTGCCTCCCTTGTCGCTCAGATACGCCTGCATCACCGGGAAGAGAGCGAACAGCACCTGGCTCCCCAGGCCGAGAAACCCATCCACCGCATTGGACGTCTGCTTGCGAAAGAAATCCACGGGCGTCTTCTTGTCCACAAACCAGCACATAGACACCTCTGCACCCATCAGCAGCGTGAATGCAGTCACCCCCACCAACGCCCCTTCGCCGACGCTCTCGGCGTCCACCAACTTGTTGCAGAGCAGCCACGAGATGGGCAGCAGCAACGCGTCGAAGATCAGCACAGAAAAGAGATAATTGTCTTTGCCCAGAGCGGGCTCGATAAGGCCGACACGGATGGCGCCGCAGACGAATGCCGTGGGGAATGCACAGCCAAAATAGATGAGGCCTTGTCGAAGCGCTGCAGACGCCTAACCCATCTGAACAGCAGCAACCAGCGAGCCAAAGTGCGTAGTTTTCCTCTGGTCGATGCATGAAATCGTGGATACTACCTCAATCGAGGGAAGAGATAATTGACAGATGGCATCCATGCACTCGCTTGTCCAAATCGCCTCCATGAATCTATCCACATATGCCTATGCACAAAGGGCACGCTCACTCATCCGATGAGAACACCCCAGCCCCGTCCATCGCCCCAACACCACGCCATGACTGCCTCCCGCCCCTCAAACACAGGCTAGCAGCCCGCATCAATGCAACAGACAAACGAGCACGCAGCCACCCATGCACCCGCCCTCGCCCCCTATCTGACCACCCCTGTCTCGTCAACAGCTGCTCAGTCAAGCGGGTGAAGAAGTGCTCCGCCTCCTTCCCCCACACCCCATCGACGGTGACGACCAGAGGGGTGAAGGTCATGGACAGGTCCTCGCAAACGCGCACTTGCTTGTTCTTCTTTCTGCGCTCGTGCGTCGCCAGGATGGATCGCGTGGGGCGGTTGCCGTAAGAGGGAGCATCAGCGTTAGTAACGCACACGTCGAACGATGCATCCCTCTGGCGGTCCCACACACCTCGGATCACCAGGTCCGTCCTGACCTCCTCCCTCCCCTGCCCATCCCCCTCCTTCAACACCACCTCCTTGTGGACGCTCCCTGCCCCAAAGGCCATCCTGCCGACGTCGCCGATCACGTCCCGCAGCTCGTTGTGCCGCTGTATCACCAGCCCGCCCTTCGCGCAGTCCAGGGCATGGGTGAGGGTGAAGGCAGAACCACACCCTGGGCAGCTGGAGGGGAGGTTGGGCGGGCGGTAGCCGTAGCGCTCCTTGGCCTGTGCGTCCGCCCGCCTCTTCCCCTCGTGAATGGCCGTGTGCATCTGAAGGCGATGGATGGACGGGTCGAAGGGCTGGTCTGAGTGGGTACCATGCTGAATAGCGGTGGTGAGCACGTTGGTGCCCTGGACGGACGTCTCGTACGCCTCAGCGACCCGCTCGGTCGGGTCGCGCACCC